GAGAGAGAGAGAGAGAGAGAGAGAGAGAGAACCTGTATGTGTGTGTATGTGAGAGAGAGAAAAAGAGAGAGAGAGAGAGAGAGAGAGAGAGATCATGTGTATGCGTGCTTTTGTGTTTGTGTGTATGTGTGTGTATATGTATGTGTGTGTGTGTGTGTGTGTGCGTGTGTCAGAAAACGTGATAAGGGTAAATATAATAATATTAGGTGCTAGCATGCAACGATGTTATGATCGTGTGCGTGGTAGAGAGGCGAGGGGCGGGGTGGGTGGTTGTGGGATGGATGTATGCACGTCTGCGCGTGCGTGCGTAACTTCGGGAAAACACTCGAGGTTTCAAGGGGAACCATATTAACGGATAGAAAATCGATAACGTAAGATGCAAATAAGAGACAGAACTAAGAAATAGAGCTGGGAAATCCCGTGAAGATGAATAGGAACAAATCATTTTAAAAAACCCCAAAAGACGCATCTCTCACGTTCATCACAAGAGAGCGTTCCTGCTTTCTGTTGATCGAAAAAAAAGAACAATGTAATCTCTAGGGATAAAAATCAAGGGCTCTGCGCTGCATCATCTGAACTACAATTTTCATTCACAAACGTTTATGTCTCAAATTGTGCCTGTATTCTTTAATGTAGAGACATTTTTAAAATGCAATAGTATTGCAATTTTCTACTCATAAATCTCTGAGGATCCCGTTATTGTTTCCCTTTCTTATTTTTCTTTCTGTCTACGTTTCTTTCGTTCTCATCCTATTTCTTTTCAAATACACCACATTTTGTGGTTTTTCTTTCCATCTCCCCAGCTATGTTTTTAACCAGGACAGCTGTAAACAAAAAACTGTCCATCTTTCGACCTGTGTCTAGGTCAACCGATCTAGCGACAAAAAGAAAATGTTGCGATATAATTTTCCCCAAGTCTCCAGTGTATTATAAATGACATCGTCCTTACTACTATTTGTAGTGATCTGCTGAGTAAATCATAAAGCGTCAGTCGTGCGCGAAACTATCAGAGCCGCACACTTAAATTTAAAAACAACAACAAAAAAACAACAACTATCAAAGCTGCTCACTATTAAATAAATAATTAAAAAAAACAACAACTATCAAAGCCGTGCACTATCAGAGCCAAGCACTTTTTGGCGACATCGATACAATAAGACTGCCGATTCCCTCCAACGGTTACAGTCCCCTTTACAAAATTACTTCGTACTAGAACCTATTTTCATACAATGAAGTATCACGAAAGCTACTTTCCTGTTGAGTCAACTGACAAAGTGATTGAGGTATGTTAGTCCCATATAAAAATAAAACTGGTTCTAAAACGTCTGGTAATAAAATTATTATTTATGAATAGTACAGTAAGTGTGCCAGAAATAACCATTACTCAGATAAATGGTGAGTTGAAAATCAACGACAGAAGGAACGTACATTAGCCGTCTCACTCCTCTCTTAAGCACTATGACTGACACAAGGCTATGGTGTTTTACTACTCAAATGGGCAGTGAGGGCAGAGGGGGGCTTCAATTGTTGGATGGGATTGGTTTTGGTAATCAGCAATGTAATTGTATAGATGTCGTCAAAAAGTGTGCGGTTCAGATCATGCGCGGCTTTGATAGTTTTTCTTTTTTTCCCCAAAGTGCGGAGCTTTGTTATTTTAAAACTTTTATAATTTTTTTTATTGGTCTGTTTGTTTTGCTCTGTTTTTGTTTTTTCAAAAATGCACGACTCTGATGTTCTCCCAGTCGTGCTGTTGCGAGCGCTGTTTAACGTTTACCAAAACTGAAAACGTCAATAATCAAATTTTAATTATGAATTGAATCACATTAATGGTGACTAGCGTTTGTGATGTAGCAGTTAGACGCTTCACTTTCACACACAGTAGACACATGTTCGATTCCTGGTTGGAAAGAATGAGGGTTTTATATCAACTATCTTTTGTTCTGTTGAGACTATGTGCTCCTCGCAATGGGTGGTTCGTGGGCGCTATGGGGTTGTTGGGCCCTTCTCTCCAATCAAACATCTATTCCCTTTACTTTGTGTAAATTCTTCCTTTCTTTGTATAAATTACTATTCATTAATTTTATCGTCGGCACCTATAAGATGCCCTTATTATGTCGTGAGTGCCGTAAAACTCGTACAAGGAAAAAACACCACAAACTTAAGGTCCTTCCCAATGGGAGAATAGATGGTGCACATTTTTTTTTTACAATTTTGGTCAAAAGTTAGGGTCCAGAAATATTAGTTACACAAGTTACACCCTGTGTTTTACGGTGCCGTTGTCGTAAATTTATTATGAAGATGACAATTCCATATGAATGTTTTCTTGTATCTTCGTTTCTTAGAAGTTTAAAAGAGATGGGCAGGCATGTTTAGTTTCAGTTTTAGTCAAACATTTTTGGCACTTGCAACTCAAATAGTTTATATTATAAGTGCTGAACATTGGATGTGATGTGTTCCTAGAGAGTAACACAACAGACAAGAAGGAGGAGATGTTAAGGACGACAGATGTTTGACAGGAGAGGAGGAACAAACTACACCAGAGCACCTGGAAGCTTCCAACAATCTGTCAGTGAAAAATATTATGTTAAACTGTCCCCGAGGTTTTATGCACCCCGCATAATTTAACAAAATTAGATATTTTTTTTTTCTTTTGGGGGGGGGGGGGGGGGGGGGGAAAAATTCGAAAAATTTCCTTATTTTTTTTTTTTTTGGGGGGGGGGGGGGGGGGGGGCATAATTTCTGATTATTTTCCTTTATCGTTTTTTTGTTGTTGTTGTTGTTGTTGTTGTTAAAATTAACAGAATCGCATAATTCCACATTTTTGGGCTGAGTTTGTATAATTTCAGAATTTTCTTGCATAAAACGAACGGGAACAGGTTAAAACGGCGGACTTGAAAGAAAACTGAGCACGAGACAAATAAACACGAGGTATGGAAGCGTCTATATAGACAGAAGTAGTCGCCCTTATTATAGTATAATAATCTATAAGTGGCAACCCCGGACAGGTGAGGGGACTCTCGTGGTCTAGGGGTTAAGGTGCTAGCCTCTCATTCTATAGGTCCCGGGTTCGAATCCGGACAGTGGAGAAAATTTTCTTCTCTAAAATTGTCTCCTTTCACCTTCTTCCTTGCTCTCTAGCAATATTCTGCTGCCTGCTTTCATTTCCACTTTCTGCCCCCACCCCCTCACCTCCTTTGCCCCCTCCTCTGGGCTCCTTGCTCTTTCTTCAGCCTTTCTACTACTTGTCTTTGGCTCTTTCTTACTGCTTTCTTTCAGCCACACCCCTGATCTTATGGTAGGTAAGAACTACACCTAGCCTTCTCGGACAAGGGCTAACCATCTCGGAGGTCCTGTGTGCAAGTTGCGCTCGTTAAAGATCCCTTGGCGGTCCAAAATGGATAAGAGTAGGCTTCGGCTGCCCCACGGGCAAAATTCAAAATGTCCTGCTAACTGTAAATGTTTGGTGTGTACCGTGTGCTCAAAAATACGTCATTATGCTGCTGCGAGCGCCGCAAAACACTTGAAAAAAGGATAGAGGTTTAATCCCCAACTCTCCCCTACCCTCTTTCCCCCTCTCTCCCCCCCCCCCCCACGGTTGAACAGGGAACTGCATGTAATCTAACAGCTGTCACGGGAAAACGTACAGTACAGATATATGTGTCTCTGCCTCGCTTGCAGAGAAACACATTGACAAAAATAATGGTTACTTACAGCGATAAGTAACTGGTAAATAGACACCTGGGCGAAGTAAAAGCACAGAGCTTTGAAAGGCTCCTCGTGTATTCTCGGTTATAATATTATTAAGGCGAAGAATTGTTAATTTTAGAAATCCTTTCTTCAACACTAACAATGTCACCTTAGCAGAGACTGTGCCCACCATTTCGGAACTTCACAGTGACCGTAAAGATGGTTCCAGTAGAGAACGAGAGAGAGGGGGCGCACGTCCCTCGTGACTCATTGGAGCAGAGGAAGATAGGACTAACGCTAACATTATTTAAACACAATCCCGCATCATCCCTCATCACCACCAGTATTTCTAAAATCATAACCGCTTACCCCTGTAATCCTGGAATATCTATCTGTAACAGTTACTGGTTATGCTAAGTATGCACGTAATACTACACTGTTGGGCACTATCATACTCACTTTTTCTACTAATCAAATGGCGTCAATCTCATATAAATGGGCAAGAGATTTTTTTTTTAAAGAAATCTTTTTCTTTAGTACATGATTGGGAATTTCGTTTGTATACAAAGTATTTTCTTTTTGACGGTTCTTTTACATTCTTTGTTTACACCCCCCCCCCCCCTTTCACAAAAACACTTTTAAAAAAACCAACAATGTTAAAAAATGAAACAGTAGTCCTATACTTTTCTTGCGATCATTCTATACCTTGTCATTTTATGTCCTGGAGCTTTTAAGCCAAGAGAAATTTACCCCTTTTACCACCTCTTTTTCTTTTTCCATGGGGATTTCATGAGGATATTTCAGTATTATTATAATTATAATTTTATTATTTCATCATTATCAGAAGATTGGAAGTAGTGTTTTGTTTTAGCAAGAGGTTTACGGGGAGAACATTAGAGACGCGCACTATCAGAGACGTGCAATTAGATTGCCGAATACCAAAACAGTTACAGTACCATTCAACAATTTAAGTACCCTCAGCGATTTACTGGGCTTGGGACCAGATATCAATTAGATTTTGTATTTAATGAATAGGCTTTTCAGGTACATGTATTAGAAATGTATCTAAAGGACATGGGCAATATTTTAAGTGTTTGGGCAGCATTTTCTTGCTCATTCAGGATAAAAACTAAAGTTGTGAGACTTGTCCATCTGTGTACATTTGTTTGTTACATGTTCTCCCTTCCTCCTTCTTCGTGGTGCCTTTCTGTTTGGTCTGTGTTTTTACTTTCAGCTTAGAAATGGTCTGGAAATCGCTTAACGTCTGCAGAAAGACGAATATATTTTGATCGGGGCTGTGCAGGCAGAGTAATTTTGTCAAGGGGACTGTAACCGTTGAATGGAATCGGCAATCTAATTGTATTGATATCGTCAAAAGGTGCGCTGCTCTGATAGTACGTGGCTTTGATAGGGCTGTTTTTTTCTGGAAAGTGCACGGCTCCGATAGTTTACCGTTTTACGGAATTCGTACCTGCTTTGAAGTATTGGTAGACGACAAGTATGTATTGTCTAAGAGAGTTTTCGCTTTATCCTCGCTGTTGTCGTGGCCGTCTCCTTTGTCACAGCTACGTGCACAGCACTGATTCAGGGTTGTTCTTCAATATTCTTCTCTTGTTTGCCCTCTGAGTTTACTTTAGCTCGATTATTCCTCAGGTGGAAAAAACTTGCTGTATTTTTAAACATCTTTTTACCTTTTTTTTTGTAAGTGTTTGGCGGCACGTGCAACTGCGTAAAGTCACACATGTATGAGCGCACGGGACACATTAAACATTTTCAGTTGGTAGGAATTTTTTATTTTTGCCCAGGTGGCTGCCGAAGCCTACTCTTATCAATTTTGGACCACCAAGGAACCTTTAACGTGAACAACTTACATGTGGGACCCCCGAGATTTTTTGCCCTTGTCCGAGAAGGCTAGGTGTAGATCTTTCCTAATATAAGATCAGGGGTGCGGCTAAAAGACAGCAGTAAGAAGGAGCCAAGGTGTAGCAGCAGTAAAAAAGGCTGCAGAAAGAATCAGGAGCCTAGAGGATTGGGCAAAGGAGGTGAGGGGGTGTGGGCAGAAAATGGAGGCGAAAGCAGACAACAGAATATTGTTAGAGAGCAGGAAAGTATGTGAAAGGAGAAAATTGTTATTGAAAACATTTTTGTCTGTTTCTGGATTCGAACCCGGGACCTATTGAATGAGAGGCGAAAACATTAACCTCAAGATAACGAGAGCCCCTCCTGATGTGTGCATGGTTATGCTTAGCAACATTGCTTTTGGTCTTCTGCTGATCGGATATGATTATGTGTCCTCTACCTTCTCAAGAGTTAATGTGTGAGTATGTTACTTCACCCTCGTGTGCTCCCCAGATGACGCAGGCTTTCAGACGGGAGCGATCGCCGCCCAGAAAGGAGCCCATTCCCTCGGGGGCGTGGACGGTAGCTCCAGTCAGGGTGCGGACGGCTACAGCGACTACACCGTGCCCGAGGGCGTGAAGTTGGACGATATCTGTCTCACGCAGGGCTGTGTCAATGCTGGTGAGGGCGGAGCCGTGAGCTTCCCCTTTTTTGTTCTGTTCTGTCATGTTTTGTTTTTTGTTTGAGAGTATCTCATACAACGGCGGCCGAAAGAAATTTGAAAATGAGATCACCCATTCATCGTATATAAACATTGCGCTACCCACTCATGGAGCTTACCAGTTTAAAGCTCAATTTATACATCCTGCAACATCTGCTACATTAATACTTCATCGATATTGAGGCTTCCAATTTTGTTTTGTTCTGTTCTGTTTTGTTGTTTGTTGAGAGTACCTCAAATATACAATGGCGGCCCAAAGAAATTTGAAAATGAGATCACCCAATCATCGTGTAGAAACAGAGCTCTACCCACTCATGGGGCACACCAGTTTAAAGCTAAATACATTCTGCGTCATCCGATACATTAATATTTCATTGGTATTAAGAGTCGCCACAGATATGATCACTCATAACTGACCTTTAAAAACCGAGACTTGTAAAAATTGTATGAAATTAAAGAAACGTAAAGAAGTGTTCCTTGTGTGTTGAAGTCCAATAACATTGGTGGAATGTGCATAAATTGCATTTTTAATTATTAGAAAATTGTGTCTCTGCAATAAATAAATAAAGTTCACTATGATAGTTTTCAACAAATCAGAAAACAGGGCAGTCACAAATACCATTGGACTTAACATTTAATTGTGCTCCGTGTGAGGACGTATTTTGCAGATCTAGATAGTAAAATGTAAGTCACTTCCTGTACAAAAAGCAACCAAATTATGTTCCTCCTGGGTGTACATACATGCACGTAGTCACAGTCTATCTTTCACTCCAATTTCTATCTCTGCCTTACGAGATCTGTCCCAGAATTATCCCTGTATTTGTCTCGCATTTTCCTCTCACTAAATAGCACTTATTGTGTTGACGTGCTTCTCTTTTCTCAAAGGAGTTGAACTTTTGACACCCCCCCCCCCCCCCACACACACACACGCACACTTTTTCTTTCTCATAGCATCACGTATACTGACCTCCATGGACGCGTCTGTGGCACCGTGTGACAACTTCTACGACTTTGCCTGCGGGAACTGGAACAAGATGAACATCATCCCGGCGGACCGCACCAACCACAACACCTTCACCAAACTAGGGGACGACCTGCAGGCCATGCTGAAGAGTAAGACCGTGACGTTAACTCTTATAAGTTGGCCAGTTTACTGGTTGGATGCTGCATTATTGTGCTTTCTCGTATTCCTCATTTTTCATAGATATCTGTTTGCTAATACTGCAACTGTACCCTCACGAGGGGCGTGGCGTCACTTCCAGAGAAGGTGGCGCCTAGAACAAATTTATCACAACGAATAGTATTGCCTACTTATTACAGGCCTATAAACTGTAGACCTACTATATACGCTTGTTCATTTAATTTTAATACTGATACATACTACCATGCGAGAAGAATAGATTCGTGGTGGTACAATCTTTTATATAGATCGAGAGAGAGTTCAGCGGTCAAGATGCGCATAATCAAATCACATTGTAATCCCACACAAAACAATAACTTCCAACTGATCAACTGAAAAGCACAAATTCACAGTCGAGAACACGCATGCACTATTGCCCTCGGGGCGTCTTGACATAATGACCCCATTCCCTGATTCCTTGCAGTTCTGGTTTCTAGAAAGCAGACAATAAAACCTATTTTTAGACAGTTCGCAACCATGCCATGTGGCCATGTCCAGGCTAACTACCACTTCATCCCCTCCCAACCATACAGACGCCAAATCAATCTTGGCCCTTTGGCCCAACAGTACAATCTCTTAGTGTGATGGGAGTACCTGTTGTAGTATTTTTTGCTGAGTTATGTTCTTAGTGATATCTCTTTTGTCTTCCGTCAAACGTCTGGATGGGGTATTAAAGAAACATTTTTGCTATTCTTGGAAAGAAAACCCTGTTTTCAACTGATTGAATCAAATAGTTTACAGATCATTTTGAATTATTTTGACCAGACGTCACACCTAAACAATGAACACCCAGATGGGTTCAGGCAGAGACACTGGTTCAGGTTGAGCCGATCTGGGTTCGGCGCCCTCGGTGAAGTCAGACGTAGGGAACGAAAGACGCGGGGGGACCCTTGCGACCGGCAACGGGAGGCTTACCCGCCCTCCTCCCACTAGCCTAATTATAGACCCCTTAACTAAAGACTGGAGTACTTAGGTATAAGAGAATGGTTTGGAAAAAATATTGTGATATTTTGTTAAGTTTTGGAACATCGTATTCCCTTTTTTGAAAATCCTTTCTCCATTTCAAAGGGTGGCGCTGTGGCGCCATTTGCGCTTGGAGAGCCCCGCCACTGACCCTCACGTTGTAACAATATCTATTTTTTCCTTACACTGTTGGTTGATAATGCTTGTAGCTTGAATCCTATCACTTTTTAATGAAAAGGCTAACGTATTCATATTTCAAACTAAACTTGCTGCACCAAAGCAGGGAGTAGGCTTACGACTCGTAAGTTAGAACTCATTAGTCTCATGCTCAGAATGAAAAAGGCGTAAAGCTTGAACAAAACAGTTCGTTTGACTTGGGGTAAACACTGGAACATTTCACAGACTTAAAAGTTAGATTTTGTGGTAGATATTGGGACATTGTATAAGTACTTGGAAAGAAGTGAACAAAGCATTTGAGTGAAAAGGTTAGAAGAAGATTGTACAGTAATCAGTGGGGGCACTTTATAAACGTTTAACAAGCGATGAATAAAGGAACGGAGTACAGACAAAAGTATAATATTTACCATAATCAGTGTTGCGTAATATCAAAGTACATAAAATACTTTTATATTCTAATATATACTTAAACAAAGCAAAAAAAAATCTCGTGAGGAATCTAGTTTGTAATTCTTTTCCTTCTTCTCTCTTTATTTATTTATTTGTTTATTTATTTATTTATTTCATTTATTTATTTATTTTTTTACTATCACTCTTCCTTTGTTTGTTGTCTGGCTAATGTGTCAATATCCAAATATTGTTTCAGGTATTATCGAAAGGCCAAAGGATCCTAAGGAGGACATTGAAGTAACCATAAAAGCTAAAGACTTGTACACATCTTGTATCAATGAAAGTACGTATGTGTGCTGTGTGTTTAGTATCCCTTTCCTCGCATTGCAGATATGTAAATACTTACTGTGCAGTGTATGGACAAAGATTTATCTGCACTTCCAAATAAATTACTTTAAAAGTTAGTTCGATTAATACAGATTGTTGTCATTATTCCTAAAGCTGTTTATTAAGATTGTAATGGTAATTATGACGATGGCGATGACCATGAGGAGGAAGAGGAGGAAGAGGAGGAAGAGGAAGAAGGGGAGGAAGACGAGGAAGAGGAGAAAGAGGAGGAGAAGGAGGAGGAGGAGGAGGAGAAAGAGGAGAAAGAGAAGAAAGAGGAGAAAGAGAAGAAAGAGGAGAAAGAAGAAGATTCAATGGTTGAAGAGGCATAATATGTGGTGTTGGTGGCGGCGGTGGCTAGATCTATGAGGGTGTAAGGGTAGAGTAGCTGAAAATGCAAAATAAAAAAATACATGTATATAATATATGATACATGACGGAAAGATGTTAACCAATTGTACAACAATGCTGTTACTTTCAGTAATATAAATAGATTGTAAAGCGCATTGTGCTTGCTGTTGAGCGGGAACTTGCACTATAAAAACTCTACCTATTATAATAATAATATTTTACTGCTGATTTTTTTTCTAGCACAAATAGACCTGCTGGGTCTGAAGCCAGTACGCAGCTTGTTGGCTGAGCTGGGCGGCTGGCCAGTGCTGGATAAGTCACGTGACAGGCAGTACGACAATCAGGACGTGATCGAGTTGCTGGTAAAGCTGCGACGAATTAACTCCAAGGACATGATCAACTTTTGGGTGTCGGAGGACGACAAGAAGTCAGATGTGAACATTATACAGGTCTGAGCTATTAGACTTACAGCTCTTCATTATATCAATATATATATATATATACATTATATAATATATATATGTGTGTGTGTGTGTGTGTGTGTGTGTGTGTGTGTGTGTGTGTGTGTGTGTGTGTGTGTGTGTGTGTGTGTGTGTGTGTGTGTGTGTGTGTACGTGTGTGTGTGTGTGTTTCGGGGGGGGGGGGTTGTTTTGTAAGGGGCGTAGTATGTGTTGTATGTGTGAGTAGTTGTGTTTGTGCGTGTGTGTGTATGTGTATGTGTGTGTGCGTGTGTGTGTGTATGTGTGTGTGTGTGAGTGCGTGCGTGCGTGTGTATGTGTGAGTGTGATAACAAAATTTCCCACACGCATGTCTTCTACGTGAGCGTCTAACCGCTACTCCAAAGACACTGATCTGGTCTAGTTACTTAAATGAGCTAAATTGTGTCAATGAAAACGTAAAACATGAACAAGTAACAATTAGCTGGATCAGACCAGGCCAGAACATTAATGATTTTTTAAATTTATAAACGCACAAGCCACCCATAGTTACGTACTGTTTTAGCCTCTTTTTCCTATGTTTTTGAATGTATGATCCTTTTAAACATTTTTGGACATTTGACCCCTCTCTTTAAAGAAAATTTGTTGAATTTGACCCCAGGGTTGTCATTTATATGCCCCAGATCCGTCATAATGTGCCAAATTTAAACATTGTCAGTCGATTTTTCCATATCTTAAGCACCATCAATCTCTGATTTTAGACTTGGAGTTAGTGGGTGGTTGGCAGGTGCTCTGGTGTGGTTTGCTCCTTTTTTCCTATTCAACTTCTATCGTCCTTTTCTCTCCTTCTTCATTTGTTTTTGTTACTCTCTTGTAACACCTCTAATATTCGGCACTTATATGACCTTATTGTGTTGCAAATGCCGAAAAACTTTTACTAGAACTAAAGAAACTAAACTTTGAGTTTACCTGTACTTCATCAGCTGGACCAACCTGAGCTGGGCCTATTATCTCTAGACTACTACCTCAAGGACGAATACTCTAAGCTGGCTCTATACAGGAAGTTCGCCCTTGACGTGGCGGTCATGTTTGGAGCAGACGAGAAGACGGCGTCCAGAGACGTGGACGACTGGGTCAACTTTGAGGTGGAGTTGGCCAAGGTAAGATGATTGGCAATGACAATGACAATGACAATCTTTATTCATCTCGAAGGGAGAAATTTGTTTTATTCGTTTACATTTGGCAGTAGATTTTACAAAAGGTTAGGTGCACTCACGCAAACGCACAACAAGACAGGGCATTAGGAAATACATGTCTCATGTGCTGCAACCCGCTCTGTAAAACATTCTCTCTCGATCTCTCTCTTTTTTTTCCCTTTCTCTCTCTCTCTCTCTCTCTCTCTCTATCTCTCTCTCTCTCTCTCTCTCTCTCTCTCTCTCTCTCTCTCTCTCTCTCTTTCTCTCTCGCGGTGACTCAGATAATGCTTGTCTGAGCCGTACAAATGTGAGGCATCGTGGGTGAAATTAAGAGCTCGTCAATAAAATGGAATCAAAGAAATTTGCGTTTTTCTGGCTCTGGGACAGATTCTTGTTTTCTAATTTTCTTTTTGAGGCCTATCACATTTTATATCCATATAAAGCACATTTCTGAGTGGATTTTTTTTTAAAACATTGATTAAAGGCACAGAAATGTACAATTTCAGTTTCCAGGGACTCTTAAGCTATGGAAATTACCAAACTGCCATTTTCCCGCTAATTTTACCTCTGAAACGTGGCAACCTTGATCTTCTTCATTTGCAAATATTTCGACTTTTATTCAACATAGATGCATATTTTTCCACCATAAGCAAAGCAAATGAATAGACTTTAAGATGATACCAATTAACTCATATGCCCAAAAATTGACGAGCTCCTGATTGCACCATGTCATGACACAAATGATGATTGTCTGTGTCGAGCAGATGGTGAGTCATTTGAATTTCAGTACAGATAATGAAAAGTCTGCTGGTGTAAATGAGTGTATGGGTGTAACGCCCTTATCAGCACTATTGAATTATTTAAGAGGCGAGAGCTCTGTATTTAAAGTCCGTTTTCGATAGGAACGACTCAAACGGGTTGAGAGCATGGGAAATTCCACATAACGACCCAACTTTAAGAGCAGCCAGTCTGGGATTCGAACCAGGGCCACTCGCTTCATAGTCCAGCATGATACGAATTGAGGTAACAGAACGCCTTACAAGATATGTGAATTGAGCTTTCTTACATAATATGATGAACATATTAATCTGTTGTACAGATGACTGACTCGAGCGGCCAGTCCGTTACAGAGTAATATCATATCTCAATGGTCAGGGAATCAAATCGTTATAGCCTGTTAGGCACAAACGTAATTTTAACTTTTAGAAGTCGGCACATCTTCTAGCAAGACGCTGCTTTTTTTTTCTCATTGATCATAAATATCTGCATACCTTTGCTACAACTGTATCTTAATTTATCAAATCTCCATTCTTTTTTTTTTCGGAGTATTTTAAATAGTAATGCCAGCTCGTGGCTTGAGATGTATCTTTGTTATGAAGACAATGCTGGCGTATGTTATTTTTAACGAGTTTGCTGCAACAAAACAGATAATAGGCTTATGACCTGTGACAGTTCATCACACTTATTTTGTATTACGTCGCTTCGTTTGTTAGTTAGTGGCTTTTTTTCCCCTTTATTGTGTTTTGCTTGTTACTGTGTTGGGTTTTTGTTATATTTTGTCAACAGATCATGGTCCCAGAACACGAGCGCAGGGACAATGAGGCGATGTACAACAAAATGTCTCTGGGACAGTTAGCAGACAGAGTCCCCGAGGTGAGTTTCTGTTTTAATTGAAATCAGTTTATTAAGTTGTTTTTGCTTATCATCGCATAATAGCAATGGCAATCATAATAATAATGATAATAATAAAGATAAAAAAATAATAATAATATTAATAATAACAATGATGATGATAATAACAACAATAGTAA